TTTAAGAAAACCTATAAGCCAGGGACCTTTCCAAAGTGCTGAAGAGTAACAATGTCAGTCTAGAGATTAAGGTGCACCTGATCCAGGCCATGGTCTTTGCAATTACTTGTTATGCATCAGAGAGCTAGACAATGACTAAAGATGACTGAAGAATCGATGCCTTTGCATTGTGGTGCTGGAGAAGAGTCATGAACATATCTTGGACTGCCAAGAGAATAAGTCTGTCTTGGAGAGGATGAAACCAAGCTTCCCTTGGATGCTAGGATTTTGAAGCTCTGTCTCACATATGTTAGGCATGTTGTCAGGAGGGACCCTGGATGAGATGGATTAACAGTGACTGGGAAATGTGGGGCAGGTGTCAGAGATAGATTGGCTCAGGATAGAGCAGGGTTCAGAGCTACTGTTCACAGTTGCTGAGTCGCAGTTGTCTTGCTAACACAAAACCAACCAACAAGATCAGTTTTGGCAAACTGGTTCAGTGGAAAAATGCTATCTAAGCTCTCGAGAAACCCAAAAGGACAATCAGACACGAGAGTTGCTCAAATAGAGATCTGAAGGGAGCACCCGCAGTCCTTCCTGGCTAGGCCCGCACAAGAACCAACCACTGGCATCATGACACCAGGGAAAATGTTTAACCAGTAGACTATTTGGTGGGGTATTTTTGTGTTGCCTGGTCAAGGCTTTATTTCATACTTGGTTTCATTCAGGTTAAAATGTTAATTAAAAAAACTGATGTGGACATTTGCTGGGTAGTCTTGTGGCTGAAGGTCTTCAACCTTAACCACCAGTGAAATCTGTAAGGTCCAACCTGCCACGTCATCCAGGTCCTTAAAACAGGACGAGATGGGCTGAACACAACAGGTAACATCACCATAGTCTCAAGTGGCAGCCACAGACCTCCATTCCCTCAACAACACAAGGACTTATGTTTTCTCAATAAGGCATTTCACTCTTCTCCCAGCTGGACAAAATTCTCAAAGCAGCCATCACTATTCAGAACCTATTTCTGCTTCTTTTGCTTTCTTCTTCTTTTTCTTCTTTTTGGTAGTGTCACTGTCCTAGGGTGAAAAACCATCCGTTAATAAGAAAGGGAATCTTTGAGATTCCAGAGTAAAAAAGCTGTCTGCAATGCACATTCTGCTTTACAGAACCTGTAATGGTATTCTGTATTAAATAAGACCTGCACATCACCAAGTTCTAACCTGTCTCTCAACTCACTAGCCCCTCCTAAGGGTCCAAAAGCCACCACCATCTGGACAATTCTTTCCCCATTCTAGAACTAAGTAAGCCCAAAGGCTCCTGAAGGTGGAACCTAGTAATACACACCATATCTCCAGGCTTGTCTTCACTCTCTAGAGCAGATTTGGCCTTTTTGTCCTTTTTACTCTTCTTCTTTTCCTTCTTGATCAACTGTAGAGCAGCTAGAGAGGCCTCTTTGTCACTTTCACTCTCACTTTCTCGCTTCCGCTGTAAAGACAAGTGATCAAATTAGGCCTCGGACAATGAAAGGATAAGAAACGTCCACCAAGTCCATCAGTAGACAGAAACTGGAGGGGTCAGCTAGGAGTCAGTTCTGACTTGAAAAGAGTGAACCCAAAGAGTGCTTTGGGTTCTCCTCAGTTTCAGCAAGCAGGGTTGTGTCATTTGCTAAAGACAGATTGTTGATGAGTCTGCCTCCAATCCTAACGCCACATTTCTCCTCACAGAGCCCATAGTTTGCGGACAGCTTAAAAAGTGGTCAGCAGCACTGGACTTGGCCCCTCCAAATTGTACAAGCAGGTGGACTGAACTCCATTAACTCCCAAGAATCCTCCAGCTCCTAGTTCTAGAGAAACTGCTGCATCTAGGCACAAGTCCCCCCTCATATGCTGTGGCATAGATAAGCCACCCAGGCGGACACCAGAGTCCCAGTGGAGGGGGAAGAGGAAAGAGACCAAGCCACTCACTTTTGTGATTCCTAGAGTTGCCACAGCTATCTGTGGAACCTCCACAGTTTCCACCACCTCTTCTTTCACAGAATCTCTGAAAGGGAAAAGGTGACAAGAAGTCAAATTCAAAGAACAGCTTCCAAGAAGGTCATGTGGCAACTTCAACTAACTGGTGATATTTGGCAAGTTTAAGCCACTAGACAGAAGAACCCACCTGATGTTCCAGACTACCTCCCCTCCAGAGGCCAGGAGCCAAACAAAAAAAGGCCTCACAGGTCTCTCTCAGTCTTAGCAGTTCCATAGGACCAAGGAGAGCGGGCAGCTGCACTGGCTTCCTGCCCAGATGTGGTTACTTTCTTGGATTTTCTCCCAACTGAACTTCTGCAGCCTGTGGCTTGTCTCCTCACCTGTAGTCAACATATTCCTGTGTCCACGCAGTGGGGGTGCTGTCTGTGGGCTTGCCATGCTTGTCCAAAAGGCCCTGCTTGATCATCTTCTTCTTCTCACTTGCCTGCAAGATAGGTTGTCAATGCTGGAGCAAGTGCAGGGGCTTATCAGGACACTGCTGCCAATAAACCATGTCTGAAGTTTCAAAGGTATACCGCACTAGGGGGGCACTCTGTGGCATCCCCAGCAGTGTCCTTCTCTGTACCCTAAACTCTTCATCTCACCTCATGCTGGCACAGCTCAAAAGATTTCAAACCTCTCACTGTGGCCATTTCTCTGCATTTCAGCTAAAGTTCACCATCTCATTATACAATTACTCACATTAATAGTAAACTTCTAAGGTCTGAGATGGGCCTGTTCCCACCCACCAGACTCCTCAAAGCCCAGTACAAGAGATGGTTTGTGTTCAAGGACACTGCAGCAATGCTAACAGCTTTTCAGCCCCACTCACCTTTGGACCTAAACCCCACTTCCGAGGGTATGTATCTCTCTCCATGATCACTCTCTTGATCTTAGCTACTACTCCATGGTCACAGGTGGAGATCACGGCTGTGGTCATTAATGCAATAGCTGTAGGAATTGAAAAGCCATGGAACAATGATTGGAAGTAGCAAAAGTGAATAAAGTGAAATGTACAGTAATTGTAATTTAGGAAACCTAGAAGATTTCAAAACTCAAACAAAACACATATAAAGACCAATTTTGTAGGCATTCATTACAAACGTTAAGTGCCATCGAGTTGTAGATGACTCGCAGCGATCCTATGAACGAAAGACCTGAACACTTGTTTAACTTTCACAGTTTCTCCAGGTTCACAGACTTTCCGGAGGCAAGCTATTATGGAAGTGGATGCCACTCCTGCTTCTAAGCTTGTTTTAATCAGGGAGCTCCACCAAACACTGTCCACCATGGGTAACCATTATTGCATTTGACACATCAGTGTCAGTTTGGCATTTCAGCAACCACGAGTTACCTCTGTACGGTAAATGGACAGATCAGTGCTATATTCATTACAAATATTTCTTTTAAAAAATATTAATGGAGACGATGTATCTAGTACAATTGATCCATGCTACGGTAATGTCAATTACTTCCTATGCACATGAAACAGAATGAATAAGGACAACAGGTGAGGGATTGGTGCCTTTGAGTCATGGTGCTGCAAGAAGAGTGCTGAATGCCTCTTCTTCATGGACTTCCAAGACAAGGGATGTCTTGGAGAAGTGCAAAAAGAGTGAAGCTTTGTCTCATACTCTGGGTATGTTGTAAGGAGGGGCCAGTCCTTTGAGAAAGCCATAATCCTGGAAAAGGCAGAGGGTCAGTAAAAGAGCAGAAGACGCTCAACAGGATGGTACCAATGGGCTTGAGCATGGCAGAGATCCTGAGGATGGTGCAGAATAAGAATCGGGATTCCTAACAGTTGTTCCAACAGCTGCTGTGTACAAGTGGCAGTGAACTCAAGAGCACTGAACAACTTACATATGAACCTCAGCTGATGAAATATACAAGAATCAGATTGACTTATCTGTGAAGACAGCGGAGAAGCTCAATATAGGCAGTCAAATTAAGGTCAGCAAGTGACTAGAACAAATTACTTATATACAAGTTCAAATGCAAATCGGAGGAAATTAATACAAGTCCACAAGACCCAAAATAAGACCTAGAATTCATCCCACTTAACACGTTGCTGCACACTTAAACTGACGACCGTGCTTAGAAACACATTTTGCCGTCATTTGCGCCAACTTGTTAATTAGAAAGCCATTTCAAGAATGGATTTGACACCCTGACACTGTTGTGACAGTGCATGAAAGACATTTTTCATTAATAATAAAAAGAAACAAAACTAATCACAACACAAAAATGGATATCAAAGATGTAAACTTACTCTTCAACACAGAGAACCCAAAACAAAAGGAGAATGATGCTAAATGGAACTGTGAGGGCCTTTCAAGAAGACAAAGCAAGGTATAATAACAAAATGTACGAAGGCATAGAGTTCAAAATGGAAGAACACATTTGGTATTTCTCAAGCTGAGAAGTGAAGTAAATTCAAGCCACAAATTGCAATACTGAAGGATTCTATTGACCAGATTTTTAAATTACACAGGAAGTATCAAAAGACCGAGGGAATACACAGTCACTGTACCAAAACATAACACGATATCAAGAATCAATGGTGCTGAAGGAAGTTGACTCTGCACTAAAAGTATTAGGAAAAAATAAGGCCCTGGACTTGATGGGGTACCAACTGAGGTGTCTTAATAACAGATGCAGCCCAGACATGCACACTAGTCTATGCCAAGATATTTGGAATACAGAAACCTGGCCAACTAACTGGAAGAGATACATACTGGTCTCCATTTAAAAAAAAAAAAAAACAAAACCAAGAAAACATTATGTGAAGGTAAAATCTTGCTGAAGATTATTTAACAACTGAAACACCGGGGCAAGGCCAGGCTGGGCAGGCAAGAAGCAGTGCTCAGCTTTCCCCCCCCCTTCCCCAAAATGGCTTCAGATGTGGATGACTGGAGCTGGGGAGGCCACACCTTAAAAGAGAAATAAAGAAGAAAAGAAAATCCGCCCCCCCCCCCCAATCCAAACAACTGGAACAGGACACAAATTATGGCACGTGGTTATTATTGCTGATGTCAGCTGGATCTTGACTAAAAGCAGAGACTAGGAAGGAACGCTTTTCTTCTTTTATTGATTATGCAAAGGCACATGACTGTATGTATCACAACTATAGTGAAAACTGAGAATTGTGCTAATGTGAAACCTAAGCCTAGACCAACAAGCTGTTGTACAAACAGGGCATAGTCCACAATCAGGGAAGATGTACTTCAGGACTGGATCCTTTCTCCACACCTGTTTAGCCAGCACACTGAACAGATCATTTGATCAGGATGGAATGAAAATTCATCAATAACCTGCGTTATGCAGGTGACACAACCTTGCTTGTAGAAAGTGAAGATTTTAAATACTTGGTGCAGAAGATCAATGAATACAGCCCTCAATATAGCTGTATTCAACATTAGTTGTTTTCAACATCAAGAAACAAAAATCCTCACCACTGAACCAATAAGCAGTATTACAACAGAAGACTGAAATTGTCAATGACTTCATCTTACTTGGATGCACAATCTATTGCTTATAGGGTTGCTAGGAGTACCAGTCAATTCAATGACACCTATAACAACTTGGTATTTACCAGTTCTAGGCAAGTAAGACAATGTATGCATGCAATCAAAATGATGGCTCAGCTTAATGAAAAAGGCGATCGTAGGAATCACAAATGCAGGGTTACTGGGAATCAGATAGTGTACATTTTATCACATGATCTTTCAATCCTCAGCTATGAGACAATATGAGCTTTAGGGAAAGGGCACCAGCAATTAACCACATTAAAAAAAATTCGTAGGTCCTTGGGGGTTCTTAACGAATCAATCATATTTGCTCTTATAATAGGCCTACTTCACATCCCCCAAAAGCCTATCCCTAGGATCCATTGTCTCAGCTCAGTGAGCAGGTAGCACCAGAGGGTAAAGGGACCTCAAAGCAAGCGCCCTAATGTATAGACACTCTCAAAATGATTTGAAGATGTAAGGAACACTACAGGAGTGGCTAGTGAAAAAAACCTCTGGTCTTCCCTTGGTTCAAGATCCTCATGAGGAACCCTAGCCAATGTGCAAATGTACCCCATCTTCCCTGTGTGCACCTGCTGGTTTCCTTCACTCGGACCGGACAACATTAGCAAGAGCCAACATACAGGTGCCCTCCCTCTTACCTATGCAAATGGCCTCCCCTTTAGTGGTGATAACTACGATCTCCTGGTTGACCTCAATGCCATCCTCATACCGAAGGACACCAGGAAGCAAGATCTTCGCTCCATAGCAGATGGCGTTCACTGCACTGTCTTTCATAACCAGCCTTTTGTGGGACGTCAAGAGCTTTTCCAGAGGGAAAATAATGCGCCGCAAGTAGCTCTCATCTTTGTGATTATCATACAGCCACTGGGCATCCAGAACATCATGCATTGTCACCATATGGTCCTGCAACGCACCCATGGAGGGAAAAGGTCAGAAGTGAAAACGGCTACTCAGACACAAGTGTCACCAACAGGATGAATGGAACCTGTGTGGACTGCTGCTATCCTAACTGTAGGTAGGCATTTTTGTGGGCTGGAAAAGAAATGAATAGAGAGAAATGCTTCCTACCCATCATTTTTCTCAACCCAACTCTATGTCCCAAAGTTTAATAAACAGATCAGAGATGTTGCCCTGATCTGAACTCAACACTTTGGAAATTGCCTTTCCTAGAATTTTAAGTAGGCAGAATTCTACAAAGGACTAAAAACTTGGAAGCAGCAGCTCTAAAATGTCCAGCCCCAGAACAATGTACCTTTTCACTCATAACTCCAGAACGAACCCTCCGAAGTTCCTGCATCTGACCTCCAACTCCCAGTAACAAACCAAGGTGCACACACAGTGTCCGAATGTAGGTGCCAGCCTCACAGCTCACCCAAAAGATTCCTAAGACAAACACACAAAAGAAAAACAGCCTTTAATTCCTAAAGGAAGGGCATCATTGTTCAAGAGGTTCAAAGTTATACTCCATCTGAGACGATAAAAAACAGAGGCTGTGACTACGAAACGTACTAACAGCCTCTGCTCTGAAACATGAAATCTCCAACAGGGTGGTCCTACCCACTTGTAGTCTATGTGAACGAATTCCCCAGAAATAGCTAATGACCCACCTAATCTCCTCTCAGGATCATACTCTATCATTTTGCTCTCATAGATGGTCCGGACACGGAGCTGCCTCTTGACCGCAGCAATAAGTGGAGGTCTCTGGAACAGGGCGCCTGTCAGAGTTTCTAGTGCCTATAAATATACACAGATCAAAGTCACCTATCAAATCAAAGGGCATGTCCGTTGGGTTGGCACCTTAATAGAAAAGGCCTTCTCAATCCTTCACTGGGTAATCATCCAGTGCTAATCAGACTCCGCCCCCCCCCTCGCCCCCGAGGAGTGTGAAAATGTTGCACAAGTTTGGTGAACAGGGAAATCTGATCTGTCTCCAGATACATCTGAGTTTAAAAAAACCAAGATGCCAAAGGGGACCTTTCCTGCAAACGCAGACTTACCCTAGAAAGCTGGATGCTCCCTTCAATAGCATTGTGTAGCCGGACAATTCCTACATACTCTTTGCCTGTAAAAATGACAGAAGAGTAGACAGGCGTGGCCACTAAATTTTCTGTTTTCAAACCTGGAGCAAGGAGCTGAGAACTGGATTTGATCTAGTACTTGAAGCTCCAAAAAGGGGCACAAGATCTGGCAGATGTAATAAAGACTATCAAGTTTTACAAATATACCCCTTAAGAAACTGAGTCAGAAAACACAAAGTGCCTTCTCATCTCGAAGACCCCACCCCACCTTCCCCTCCACCTACCTGCGCTCTGTTGTGATTTCACCAAGCGGGTTGCTCGTTCTATGCACACAATTAGACAGCCAGTCACCTTGGGATCCAGGGTACCACTGTGTCCTGTCTTTTCAACACGAAGTATTCGCCGAATCCATGCCACCACTTCATGGGAAGAGGGATTGGAGGGCTTGTCAAGGTTAATAAAACCTGTCCTAAAAGTGGGGGGAAAAATACCAACTGTCACCTGCTTTGATCTATTAATAAATCTCTTGGATTAGGCGAGCTCTGGTGGCCTAGTGGCAGGAAACTGCACTGCAATCCCAGAGGTGCGCGGTTCAAATCCACCAGATGCTCTGCTGAAGAAAGAGGAATAATCTCCTCCTGTACCAGTCAGATCCGATTTGGCGGTACACACACACACACACAAAATAAATAAAAATAAAAAAAAAATCTCTTGGATTAAAAAGAAAATCATCACAGGTACAAATGTCATGCAAATGTATTACCACCTCTTTAGCAAGTAATGGAAAAGACATACTTACCTGATATAGTCAGCAATTTCCCTTTTTAGAGGATTTGAACCAGAAGGAAGAGGAGTATAGTGTGTTGTCCTTATATTTAGCTTATCAAAATTCTAGAAAGCAACAAAACAACACAAAATAAATACATCTCTTCAGTTCTCATTTCTGAATCCTTACATTGCCATTACTGACTCATACAGCACCCAAAGAAGCGTCTCTAAGGCTGTAAATTGCACAGGAAGAGATGGTTGCCCATCTTTCTCCCTTGGAGTTGCTGGTGGATCGGAACTGCCAGAGATAGATGGACTGCTCTATGTGGTCAAGTCGGACCTGACTCATAGCTGACCCTCCAATGGGTTTTCACTCATCTTTCTCCATGAGTAGCTAGTGGGTTAGAACTGCCTGCCTTTGGGTTGGCAGCAAACTCCTTACCCCCTAGGCCAAACCCCACTGAGCAGCAATGACAGAGTAACCCTTGTAAAGTATCTCTTTAAATATTGGGATAGTTTCCCTATACAGGTAAGAACAAGACAAACTGATCACTCATATTTAAGACACTGCTGTAGAAAATGGAGATTACCAAAGATAGTACATTAACAGATCAGGCATTGCCATACAGGATTATGACGCAAACAGGAGGGCTTTGACTTTCTCAGGTGGAAAGAGTCAAACTTAGCACTGCAGGTAACAATGTCATATTTTCACTGACATGTCTATATAGTGTCAGCTCCTGAGAAGCGAAGCATGGCCACTTCATGTGAAGCTCATCGCCTTCAATTCAGAAGCGACTCATAGCTCACCCTCCAGCATGTTTTCAGAAGCTGTAAACTGCATGGGAGAATACTGCTCCTTTCTTCCATGGGATAGCTGGTTAATTCAAACCACCAGCACTGCTGTTGGGTTAGGAGCACAACTCCCTAAGGACTATGCCACTCAGTTGTCTTGTTATCCTCATTTGACCATCATGGCCTTTATTTGGATAGCACTTCCATCTCCCAGACCTAGGATTTAGTTCCAGGAGAGCAGGAACCTTGTCTACCTGCTTACCAACAGATCCAAAGACCCCACGGTAGGAAAGGAGGTATCCAACTAAAACTAAGTTCTGTAAAATAAGCAAATCTTACATGTTCAGTAAGGTACCTTGCTTAACCTACTATCAAGTGTCCATTTAAAATTGTGAAACCAAGATATACTGTAAGCGGATTCTCTTTTGAGCTACCCTACTTAAGACCAGGAACGACAATAATTTCTACAGAACATATCAGGAAGCTCTGATGGCCTAGTGGCAAAAAGCTGTGCTGTAATCCTGAAGGCAAGGGGTTTGAGGCCACCAGCCGCTCCATGGGACAAGGAGGGGTCATCTCCTGTGCAATTAACAGCTTCTGAAAATTTGCCAGAGGGTCAGCTATGGGTTGGTTTTGACTCAATGGTACAGAACCACCACCACCACCACAACACAGAGGTGTTCTGGCTTTAAAGCCAAGTATGGCCTATGAACTAGGGTACATAAATACAGTACATAAATTAAGACTAGAGAAATGTTGATAAAATTAACTACTGTAATGTTTCATCTGCATTTTACAAAACTATGTGTACTCAAACACAAAGTCAAATTCATTACTGTCAAGTCAGTTCTGATTTATAGCTGATCTTTCAAGGTTATGAATGATGTAGGAGACTATCCATCTTTCTCCTGCATGAGTTCAACCACCGAAAAATGTGGCCTCTGGGCTAGGAGCTCAAGTCTATATAGATGCACTGCCAACCAAATGCAGGTGTGGTTTGAATCTACTAGCTGTTCCCTGAGATAAAGTTCTCCTGTGTGACAAAGTCTCTCTAAGATCGCTGGAGAGTCAGCCTTGAGTTGGTTATTTTAAAAATCTGAAATAGGGAGCTCTGCCTATCGGTACAGTACTAGGGAGCTGTGCTGCTAATCCAAAGGCAGAGCTTCTCTGGTGGTTCAAATCCACCAGCTACTGCTCAAGAGAAAGAGAAATCTTCTCCCCTGAGATTTACACCCTCCAAAAAGCTGCTGGAGGCTCAGCTATAAATTGCTTCTGATGCAACAGCAACGAGTTTGTTTTTCTTCTCGGATATCTTGAGGAATATTAATTTAGATGGTATCTCCCCCTGGAGTTCTTAAATGTTCTTCCTTTTAAGTGAAATATAATGGGAACCAATGCAAATCAATGAGCACTAAGACATATACATAGTCACAGGACACACTCATAAACTAGTTTTGTACATACTTTCATGCTTTTGTAGGTGCAGCAATACCCATAGATTCAGGAGTCAAAGAAATTGCTTAATCACTAAAAACAAGTCAGAAGCCTAACGCATGATCTTAACCACCTACCTTTAACAAAAGGGGCCACTGAGATGTGTCCAACTGAGCCACTTTGGATTCTGGTTTTATAAGAAACTCTTCAGCGTGCTGTATTTCCTTTCACAAACATAAATAAGAGTGTTATTAGGCAACCTACAGGACTTTTAACAAGCCACATGAAAAGCAGCCAGGATATAAGATGGATCCTGATACTGGGAGAATGTGCGGGAGGGTGAAGGCCGGGCACGTTTCCAGGATGCAGCTGGTACCGGTACCGGCCAAGCCGCCACAAGGTGGTCCCACCGCAGAGCGTGTGTCTGGCGGCGCGACCGGAGCTTTGTGGCTGTGACAACTCCAGTTCTTAGAAACCTTGAGGAGTTTACTGCTGTTCGCTCCGAAATTGGAGAAAATCAAACCCAGGCTCACTTACAGCCACATCCTGCTGTGCTAATGACTTCCGGTCCTTCTTCTTGCGCTTCTTCAGCAATGAACCTGAAAACGGAAAGTTGGAGGTTTTGCTGACAATGAGGCCGGTCGTGTGATTAAATAAATCAAATCAGGCCTAGGGAAGGTAGGACTCAGATCAGTTCTGCTCTCCTGGGAGGGCCAGGCGACTGTCGCACGTGCTTTCACTTCCGGTTCACCACGTGGCCTTTAAAAGCGGAGCTTAAAAAACCGCTCAAAGCTGCTAGCCACAGGGCCGTGGGATTTTCTGGGGTTCAGTGTTCCTTTGTGCTATTACACTCAGCTCGCCCCACCACCCATCTTCCCACGGCGCAGCACAGGTGGCGGTATCACCCATGGACCCCAGAAATCCCACCGCAGGGCCTCTCGGGCAACCCAGTCGTGCCCTCGCCATGCACCGCGGCGTCGGGCGCTACTCCCGCGCCTCCCCGAGCCCGCTGAGCCGCCGCAGCCTGAGCGGCATTGCAGCCAGCTCTTTACCTTCAGCGTCCGCCATGTTCCTCACACGACACGCGCGTCGATCTGGCCACAGCGAGCTAGCGACCGTCTGACTCCCGCCGCTTCGGTCCCATCAGGCTGCACGGCAAAGACCCTCCCACTTCCGCTGCGCCCCGCCCCGTGCTCCCCCGCTTCCGCCGGGCGGGGCTGAGCCAGGAGCCTAAGGCGGGAGCGCAAAAAGAGGAATCTCATTGGCTGGCTCCGTCGGGCTCCTTGGAGCGCGTGTGTAACGCGCCCAGGCTCAGGGAGCCTTCTAGGCTGGCACCAGCGGTTTCCACGTTAGTAGTGGGTGCTCACAACTGCAGAGTTTTGAACACCCAAGTGTTTTGTACGTCTTAGTTCTGCCTTATGGGTACACTTTGAGACAGGTGTCAGGATCAGCCTCCATTGGAAACGGAGGAAATGGAGGCAAAGAGACGGGAATTCTTTGGTCGCTAGCCAAGACCATCACTAGAGCCTGGCTATCCAATAGGAATAGAATGCGAACTACATGTGTTATTTTAAATGTTACAGCAGCTACATGGGGAGGGGGAATGAAAAGGTGAAATTAATTTTAATGATGTATTTTGTAACCTACTTACTGAAAATATTATGCCACGTAAACAATGCAAAGACGTTGTGGAGAGAAATTTTACATTCTTTTTCTCCCCTTTCAGTAAATAACTCTGGTGGCATTGTCCATTCTGTTTGATAGGAAAAAAAAAAAAAGTTGAGGGCAAGATAGAGAAAGAAGCTGGTCCCAAGAAACAGAACAGGCCTTTATATCATGGTCTGAGAAGGACACCAATTGGCTGAGAACAGAGAAGGTCAAAGTGGCATGAGGGCTGTCAAGGGCGGGTTTTTAAAATAGGGGTTTTAGAGAGGATTAGGGAAGATGGCATTTTGCTTGGATTTAGGCTTTTGTGATCAGGCCCAAAGCCATATCAGGATCCATTGTCTGCTCTAGTCTCTGCTTGGGTGGCCTTAGACATTATCAGGTTTCTCGAGGATTGATCAGGCCTGGGGGCAAACGCTACATTCTTCATCCACATTCTGTGTAGCCTTACAGAAAAGGCCTTGGTTAGAACCTACCAGTAATTCCACAAGGGAAAGATGAGCAGTCTGCTCCCATGCAGATTGGTGGTTGTTGTCTTTACTGTGTACCTTCAAGTTGGAACTGACCCATAGCTGATTGCCCAGCAGGTTTTCAGACTCAATTTAATCATAATCTTACTGGAGGAGATTGTCCATCCTGCTCCAGCAGAGGAGCTGGTGGATTTGAACTGAGTGTCTTTGGTATTTTAGCGCTCCTTACCACTAGGCGCCTGGAGGTTCCTCATGGAGATATTTTGTTATTGTTATGTGCCTTCATCTTGAAAGGACCAGTTATCAGAGACTTGGTTTCTGGTACAGTTAACAAACAACCTCCACCTGTGGTAAATCCCACCCTGATTGATCAACTGCCATAAAGTGGAATTCTTCCTCTTTTTAAGGGCACAAGGGATTTTTTTCCACATTCCTGTATCTTAAGTAACTGATAAGATTCAAATAGGTTTCCAAACTGTTTCCCTGACCGATGGCTAGCCAACTGAAGGTGGACAAATACCCAAACTACTGTGGATGACCAATCATGGCGTGTATGGTTGGGCAGGGGAGTAGCAGAGGTATAGAAGGAGGGGCAGACATCAATTCGCGGCTCTCGGCTGGATGCTGCTGGGTGAGCGGCTAATTGGCTCGGTGATCTTTTTGGGGACTCGCTCCGTTACACATCTGTGTTTCATTGACTATGCAAAAACACTTGATTGTGTGGATCACAACAAACTGTGGGTGACTCTGAGAAGAATGGGAATCCCAGAACATTTGATTGTCCTTATGTGAAACCTATACTTGGACCAGGAGGCAGTCAAGAGCAAGGAAACACTGCATGGTTCAAAATTGGGAAGGGTGTACGTCAAGGATGTGTCCTGTCTCCATACCTTTTCAACCTATATGCAGAACAGATTGCAGGAGGCTGGGCTCTTTGAGGAGGAATGTGGCATCAGGATTGGAGGAAGATTCATCAATAATTTGTGTTATGCAGACGACACAGCTTTGCTTGCTGAAAACAAAGAGGACTCGAGACACTTGTTGCAAGACATCAAAGTCTTCAATATGGATTGAAGCTCAACATCAAGAAAACAAGGATTCTGACCACTACCTAGTCCAATTGGCAGCATTATGATAGATGGTAAAGAGATTAAAATTGTTAACAACTTTAGTTTGTAATACTCTTGGTACCAGCATCCAGGAAATCAGAAGAGTTGCATTGGGAAAATCTGTTGTCGGGTACCTCTCCAGTGTACTAAAGAACAATGATGTCAGCCTGGAGACTACATAGTCTTCGAAATTACTTGCTATGCATCAGAAATCTGGACAATTAATAGGGATGATAATAAGAGATTTAATGCCTTTGAGCTGTGCTACTGGAGAAGAGTATTGAATATACCGTGGACTGCCAGGAGAACAAACAGGTTCATCCTAGAGAGGGTAAAATCAGGCTGCTCCTTGGAGGCAAGGATTTTGAAGCTTTGTCTGACCTACTCTGGGCATGTTGCAAAGAGGAACCAGTTCTTGGAGAGGCACATCATGCTTGGAAGGGTGGAGGGACAGCGCAAGAGAGGAAGACCCTGGATGAAATGGATTGATTTAGTGACTGGGTTAATGGGGGTAGGTGTGTCAGAGGTAGTAAGGTTGGCTCAGGATAGAGCAGGTTTCAGGGCTATGAGTCCCAAGTGACTAGACAGCACATAACAATGACAACAATGTGCCATCAAGGCACCTGGGACTCATAGCAACTGTATGCACATTAGTTCTGAACCCTGCCTATCCAGAGCCAAAATCATCCTCTCCAACAGACCTAATCCCATTTCTCCAGTCACTGTGTCAATCCAGCTCATTCTGGGTCTTCCTCTCCTTTGCTGTCTCTCCACCCTTCCAAGCATGATGTCCCTCTCCAAGGACCATGTGCCCAAAATATGTGAGATGGAGCCTCAAAATCCTTGCCTCCAGACCTGTTTGATCTCCTGGCAGTCCAAGGTGTGTTCAACTCTTTTCCAGCACAACTGAAAGGCATCAATCCTTCTTCTATCATCCTTAGTTATTGTCCAACTCTCAGATGCATAGCATGTAATTGCAAAGACCATAGCCCAGATCAGGTGCACCTTGGTCTCCAGACTGACATCATTGCTCCTCAGTGCTCTGGAGAGGTTCTGAGAGCACTGCTGGTGCCAAGAATGTTGATTGTGAAACCAAGCAAGCTGAAGCTGTTAACAATTGCAGTCTGTTCTCCATCTATCATTGCTCCAATGGTGTAAATCTTTGGTTGGTTTGGTTTTTTTTTTAATGTTGACCTTCAATCCATATTGAAGACTGCAGTCCTTGACCATCTGCAGCAAATGCTTCAGTTCTCCTCAGTTTTGGCAAGCAAGGTTGTGGCATCTGCATTACGCAGTTTGTGGATGTATCTTCCTCCAATCCTGATGGCACATAAAGTCCTCACTCCCAAATGATGTTCTGCATATAGGTTGAAAGACAGCTTAGGAAGCCTGATAGAGGGTCAGCAGCAGTCAGAACAAACTGGATCGTGGTGTGTTTGGGTATTTGCACTTGTATGACATCTGACTTAGAACTAAGAAGTCCCAGAATCGCAATGATTAAGGTCTCAGCTTCTAACTGAAAAAAAAAAAAAAAAAAGGGCAGTTTGAATATACCACTGGTTCCACAGAGGAACGACCTGGCACATACAGTTACAATAAGTGAGAAATAACTGCACAGCACATAGTCATTGAATAAGCACCCTGCCAAGTGCTTCCGGTTGTTCTGTCTACAATATTGGACCAGAAAGACGATCTTCCCTGATTTAAGCTTGGTTTTTCTTCTGCTTTAGTGCTTTTAGAGACTGACATGATTACTCACCATGCACATTTAACATCTCATTTGCTACAATTCCATTTCTGGGCTGAATTTGAGGGGTTTGTTTTCCTATTATTGTACTAGTATCACAGTGATTAAAAATAATCACACTTCTGACACCTTTTATGGACTTGCTGTCTTAAATTGGGTTAAATTTAAATTAAAAAAAATTTTCAATGCAAACTGAGTTACAGCTTAAACGTGAGAAGTCTTCTTTTAAGTTTTGAGGGCTTCATTCGTAAAGTAGGTTGTTAAGTCTTCCTCCTATCCTGATGCCACATTCTACTTCATAGAGTGCAGCTTCTCAAATAATTTGCACAGCATAAGACTGACTAAATATGGAGAGAAGATACAACCCTGACACACACTTTTTCTGATTTTAAACCATGCAGTGTTCTCTTGCTCTGTTCAGACAGTGTCCACTTGACTCATCAAAGCTACATTATGCAGATGACACAACCTTGCTTGCTAAAAGCGAGGAGGACTTGAAATGTTTACTCTGGAAGATCAAAGACTGCAGCCTTCAATATGGATTACATCTCAACTTCATGAAGACAAAAATTCTCACCACTGAGCAACATCATGATTGTTGTTGTTGGGTGCCATCGAGTCAAGTATGACTCATAGTGACCCTGCGAACAACAGATCTCAACCCTGTCCTATCCTGTGCCATTCTCACACTTCCTGACACATGGGGGCAGTCACTGGGTCAATCCTCCTAGTCTAGGGTCTTCCTCTTCTTTGCCAACCCTCTTAAGCATCATGTCCCTCTCCAAGGAACATGCCTGAAGTATGTGAGGCGAAACTTCATCATTCTTGCCTCCAAAGAGCACTCTGGCTGTACCTTCTCCTGGACATATTTGTTTGATCTTTTGGCCGTCCATGGGATGTTCAGCATTTTTCTCCAATATCACAGCTCAAAGACATCAATTCTTCTTCTGTCATTCTTATTCACTGTTCAGCTCTCAGATGCAAAGCGAGTGGCCAGAAAGACCATGGCCTGAATCAGACACACCTTAGTCCTCAAACTGACATCATTATGCCTCAATAATGTGAACAGGTCCCTAACTACAGATTTTCCCATGCAATAGGTCTCCTGATTTCCTGACTGTTGGTACCAAGGGTGTTAATTATGGATCCAAGCACAATGAAGTTGTTGACAGTTTCAATCTTTTCTCCATCCATCATGATGTTGCCTATAGGTCTAGTGGTAAGAATGTTTTCTTGACATTGAGACGCAATCCATATTGAAAGCTGCATTATTTGATCTTCTGTAACAAGTGCTTCAAGTCCCCTTCACTTTCAGCAAGCAAGGTTGTGTCTCTGCATAATTCAGGTTTTTGATGAGTCTTCCTCCAATCCTGATGCCACATTCCTCTTCGTCTAGCTTCTCAAATAATTTGATCAGCATACAGATTGAATAGGCAAACTTGTTATGATCCACGCAGTCAAATGCCTTTGCATAGTCAATAAAGTACAAGTAGAAATCCGGTACTCTGCTTACAGCCAGGATCTATCTGACATCAGCAATGATGTCGCTGGTGCCACAGCCTCTTCTAAATCCTGCTTGAACTTCTGAAGTTCCCCGTGTTTGTACTGTTCTAGCTGTTTTTGAATGATCTTCAGCAGTATTTTGCTTGTATGTGATATTAATGATATTGTTAGATAGTTTCCACATTCTGTTGGATCACCTTTCTTGGTAACATCATGATTGATGGAGAAAAGATTGAAATTGTCGACAACTTCATCTTACTTGGATCCACAAACAACATCCTTGGTACCGGCAGTCGGAAAATCAGGTGACGTATTACATTGGGAAAGTCTGCAGTCAGGTACTGGGGAGCAACTAGGTCAGTTTGAGGGCTCTAGTGCTCCTGATTCAGGACATGTTATTTCCTTTCACTTGCTCTCCATGTGAGAGGTGGACAATGAATAAGGATGACAGAAAAAGGATTGATGTCCTTGAGCTGTGGTTGGAGAAGGGTACTGAATGACCCATGGACAGCCAAAAGAACAAACAGATACGTATTGGAGAAGGTGCAGCCAGAGTGCTCCTTGGAGGCAAAGATGGTGAAGCTTCATTTCTCATTCTTTGGACATGTTACTAGGTGAGGTTATTCCTTGCAGAGGGACATCACACCTGGGAAATTTGAGGAAAGGTGAAGGAGAGACAGACCCTCAACCAGATGGATTAACAACAGTGACTGCAGCAATGGGCTCAAGTGTGTCTGAGACGATGAAGACAGCACAGGATAGGACAGGGTGCAAATCTGTTGTTCATAGGGTCATTATGAGCCATGCTCTACTTAACAGCACCTAACTAACAACAACATTTATAAGGTTCCCTGGTTCCCATTTTGTATAGGTGGCTGTTCAAGATGGCTGTGCTGTGCTGTTTACAGTTCTGTATTCTGTTGCTTTCCTTATTTTATGTTTCAATTCAGTCTCTTCCTTCAGTTAGGGTTTGAAGTACTTCCTAGACATACACAAAGATGTAGTGGTCCAACCAGAACAAGAGAACACTGCATATTTTAAAATAAAGCTGTTCAACAGGGCTGTATCATACCTATTCAATCTGCATGCTGAGCAAATCATTAGAGGAGGCTGGACTTTCCGAAGAAGAATGTGACATCAGGATTGGAGGAAGACTCATCAACAACCTGCATTATGCAGATGACACAACTTTGCTTGCTGAAACTGAGGAGGACCTGAAGCACTTGTTGCAGAAGGTTAAAGAATGCGGCCTTCAATATGGATTGAAGCTCAACATTAAGAAGACAAAAGATTCTCACCACTGAGCCAATTGGTAGCACCATGGTAGAAAAGAGATTGTTAACAATTTCAGCTTGCTTGGTTCCACAATCAACATTGTTGGCACCAGCAGTCAGGAAATCAAAAGATGACTTGTACTGGGGAAATCTGGTGTTAGGACTTCGCCAGAGTGCTGAAGAGCAATGATACCAGTCTAGGGACTAAGGTGCTCCTGATCCAATCCATGGTATTTGCAATTATTTGCTATGCATCAGAGCCCGGTGATTTGTAGATTTCTCAATTGTCTTTTCACCACCCATCACCAGAACGTCAAAAGCAAAAATATTCCGAATATGTGTTGAGTTGGAGAAATCTTCTGTCAAGGACCTCTTCAAAATACTAAAGAACTAGGATGCCAGTTTAAAGACTAAAGTGAACCTGATCCAAGCTATCATTTCTTTTTTAAAAAAAATTTTTAAATTTTATTATTTTGTGTGTGTGTACCGTCAAATCAGATCTGACAGGTATAGGAGATCGCCCCTTCATCTCCAGCAGAGCATCTGGTGGATTTGAACCACGTACCTCTGGGATGTCAATCAATCTGAGTTTGCTTGGCTCCATAGTCAACAGTCTTGGCACCAGCAGCCAGGAAATTAAAAGGCGCATTGCCATGGGAAAGTCTGCTGTTAG